TCCCTATTAGGTTGGAGGCCATCGAAAGTAGGTTGGAGGCCATCGCTCTTAGGTTGCAGGCCATCGCTCTTAGGTTGGAGGCCAGCACTATTAGGTTGGAGGCCATTCCTATTAGGTTGGAGGCCATCGAAAGTAGGTTGGAATCCATCGCTATTAGCTAGGAACGCCCTTCGCAGCCAATCCGCTCAAAGAGGCGCCGGCGAACCCCAACCGGAGCACCTTTCCTGGGTCGCTTCGCCCTCGGCGAAGCTCGCCGGTCCACTGGGTGGGTCGAACAGGAGATGCCTCAATGGGAGCGCAAGGAGATCGAGGCCGAAGCGGGAGATTGCCTCCATGGGTCCCTGACTTGGACGGTCCCTGGTGGGAGTGACTGCCCGGTGCATGAACGAATGGTTGTTGGCGGAAGAGATGGCACCGTCAACAGCATCCCATGGCTAGTTGCTCAAGTCCTTCCGCAATGTTTGCTCTTGGTGAAAGAGAGAAAACAAGTCCTCATGGGAAAGACTCATGTGATCTCATGTGCTTATATATAGTCACTCCCACTCAGCTTGGAGAACCATGGGAAAACCATGGAAAACCATTGTCCTCCAGCTTTGGAGGATGAGATGGAGTCCTTCATGCTTCGTTATGTTTGCTGTGCCTTCATGGCACCTCGGTCCGACCACATCGCCCGCGGAGCGAGGTGGCGATCAAGATCGTATCAGAATCCCAACATGTGTGCATATCAATTTCGTCTATGATGTATGAAGTAGAAGAATGCTATACATGTATAAATGTATATAAATTTAGATTTAGATGTTATAATTGTGATGTGGAGGATAGAATCCTTTATGAAGTAACATGTAGAATGCTTGTTCCGGACACATGTGCGGTGCGTCACTCACGACGGGTGTCAGTGGCGGACGGCTGCGGAGCTCGGCTTCGGCACACGAGTTGGTCACCGAGGTTCTCCTTTGCTTCCTGTGTGAGTTCGGCTACGTTCTCGGCAGAGAGCTGACACCACAGGAGAATGTGTGCTGGGTGGCAATTTGATGTCCGATTTCATCAGCCCATTGGGCTTGTTTCAGCATTGGGCTCGAGGTCGTTCTTCCGCTCGCCCTGTACTCCCTTCGCTCTCGGGGTCGGGACGAGGGGTCGGGACGGTGTCAGGAGTCCATGGAGGAATACATACAAGGTGGGGCGATGCTGGAGGAAGGGCGAGTCCAGAGCAGTTGGAAGATGTGGGAGCCTAGGAAAGCATGGGTTCTGTCAGAGACTTACCACAAAAACACTCAGAGAGATGACATGTGCAAACAACATCATTGACATCATATGATCATGATATATCATGATCGTCATGATGATGTGTGTAGAGAACGTCCATCCTTTTGGCGGTTTCCACACACCACCAGGTGAGCTCGAGGAACAGATGATGACGGCACAGGCACTGAGCAATTTGACCTCCTTGAGCAGTTTGGAGCTGCTTGGCTAAGTGTCACCTCCCCGGTCGCACGGCCTTACTCGTCGGCCGGAGCGAGGAGTTGTCTCTGAAAAGAGCGAACAGGTCCAGATGGATGTCAGGTGGAACAAGACAACGGCGTTCAGAGCAATCAGGAATGATCATCAAATGAACATGTTGAAGCAACATCACCATCAATTGGGAGTGTAAAATGCTTGCGCGAGCTGCTAGCGCCAGCAGCTGGCAAAGGGATGAGAACATATTAGATGATTTTTGAACAAGGATCAGCATGCAGCATAGTTCTTTTACAATGGGTGGCATCCATATGACATGAATGGACACACATTCAGAGAGTTTTCCTTTGCCTGCTCTTGCTGTCAGTTTCGATGTGTTTACCCTTCTGAAAAAGCCAAGTCGTCCTCCAACAAGCTAAGGCAACCGAAAAGGCCGCAATTGGAGAGCTACGAACAACTAGCCAGTTCTTTGAAGAACTTTTCGTTCAAGAGAATGTAAAGGACTTGGAACATGCTACGCAAAACCCTGAAAGCACTTGCACCCTGTCTTAACACCTGTCTTCACTCTTCGGTGTATAGGACGGGATGTCCTGATGACTGGCGCGTGCAAACGACAATGGCGGTGTGCTGGTTAGTGCTGGGCTTCGCTGCGCTTCTTGTTGTAGCGGAGAACATGGGAGAACATCACTGCTACCCAGTGATCATAAAAACCAATGATGAAACCGGAAGACTTGTGGTCCACCGGAAAACATGTCAAAACATAGATGATATATATATATATATATAATATATATATATATATGGTTGAATCGATGCAGGGGGGAGCGTTTTGCATGCTCACTTTGTTTGGTTGTTTCAAGCAATATATTCAGACTCTACGATCAGTGAATAGACTGTTCAGGGACGGAGTCGCATCACCGTTAGGGACTGCGCGGAGACTCCCTCCGCGCCTTTCGCAGCGAGAAAACGCCTCAGGTTTCGGATGGCGAATTCCACCTGGACGCTGTCTGCCCTGACACTGGCGGTGCACAAGGCCGGCCCACTCGGCACGTGAACCCCCGTCCCGTCTCGACCGCGGTGCGCTGCGACTCTCAGTCTCAGTACGTCTCAGTGCCTTGCTGCTCCGGTGGAGTATTTCTCAGGTGGAGGGGTGCAGTTGTTCATGTCGTTTGGTTTCGTGTTTTCGTCGGGATCAAGCTGAAAGAACTCAGTTGGGCGGAGAGATCCCCCAAAAAGGCCCAGTCGCAACCGATCGAACGTGGAGGGCATGGAAAACGCGTTTTGGGAGGCATTTGGCCCTGAAGATATGGAGGGCATGGAGGCCGCTGGGAGATCCTTGGCAGCAAAACAGATGCATTTGATCCTGGCACCGCGGTCTCCAGAAGATTTGAGTCACCGGAAGATGAAGAACACAGCATGAACCTGGCACAGAACATTTGGGGAACTCCAAACAGAGGGATGGAATTGGCAAAAGTGGTTCAAAGCCATCATGAATCCTACTGAAAGACCTATTCCAGAACCTCAGACTTTGAGCAAATATAATAATATAACTATAATATATAAATATAGATGTTCCTTGTTTTCATTTGAGAAGACTAGACTGGAGTTTTGCTGCTTGTGCTTCCTTGTCTTCCTTGGCCGCCTCCAGGTTCGGGAGGCATCCTATGGTCTGCGATACATCCTCTTTGGGTCGCTCTTTTGCTGGTGTTGCTTGCAAGCAGAGTTGGTTCATTTTGTCCACAGAATGCAGAAAATCCAACCCACAACAATCACAACGCGCGAAAGTGCCACAGGAGTATTTGCTTTGGCCATTCCCAAGGGTGTTGCTGGGGAAGCGCTATTTTGACAAGGAGTTGATTCGAGAAGATCCTTGTGTGAGGACATGAGAGACCTCCAAGATCATGTGAAGTTCCTCAACGTTCCAACAATCCTCCTCACTCATAGAATCGAAGGTTTACCAAGTGTCATGTGTGAAAAAGACCAGAATCTCAGTGACTCTTGCTTTCACAACACTCAAAACCCTCCCACTTCGCCCTCTTTACAGAATGAGAGACCTTCATTTCGTCTCACAAGACAGATCACGTCCAGTCCGCTGAGTCCGCTACCTGCCTACTCCGGGCCTGTCAGGTTGGGGCCGATCGCCTGGATGGATTGCCTGTTGGCGCTCCCCCGCTCGATGCTGGCCGATGCTCGGCCGACAAAGGCTTACACCAGCCCGGGGAAGCTGGTGCTGGTGAAGCGGCGTCACCGGTGGCGTGGAGGATCGTGAAACGGATTCTGGTGGGAAGACCAATGAGAAATGAAAAAGTGATCAGACCATTCCAGCGCCATTGCTCTCATGCGCAAGATCATGCAGCTCCAAAAGTGCAGTAGATAGAAATGATAGAATCTGATAGAAGAAAGTAGAATCAACCGCTGGACAGAAAGCTCGCTGTGGAGGATTGAGCGGTGTGCAGCCGGTTGTTCGGGTTTTCAGGTGTTTGCCGAGCTATCAATCCAGTTGCTTGGTTACTGTACAACATGAAGTAACTACATCATATTGATTCACCATCACGCGTCGCAGCTCCGCTCTTCTCCTCTTCTCGGCTCCTCTCAGGGCGTCATCGCCGGCGTCCGCGAGTTGATCTTGCGCCCGGGCGGCTTCATGCTAGGCGCGGGGTGGGCTTCATCCAGTGGACTGGGACGGCTCCAACGATGTGGTAAAAATTGGGTCCAAATGGTCAGAGTGACTCCCTGCATGTGGTTCTGGCGCTGTTTCTGGTGGGATGGGTAGGTAGGACGTGAAAAGTATTGAAAAGTACTTGGGAGATTTGGGGATTGTTTGGGAGGGGATCTATGTCACAGTTGCGCGTGGTTTCTTGGATGTGGCGGCTGTATGCGACGTCTTAGACCTCTTTGCAGCAAAGCACCCATTAAGCGAGCAGAGATGAGCAGAGATCCTATGGGAAAGAGTATCATGCCGTCCCTTTCGCTCCATTGGGCCATTGAGTTCAGGTGAAAAGCGAAAAGCAATCACTGCACCTGTCCAGGGTGTTGATTCCAACTTGTTGGGAGCTTGGCATATCCAGGACATTCCAGGACCCCATAAAAGATTGCTTGGCACTTTGGTCGAGAATAAAGAGCAGAAGCTCTCCATGTTCTAGACCAGAATACAACTTGGTGTCCAGATAAGTTGAACATCACACGGTGTCTATGTCATCATGTGGAGATCGCTCGTATTTTTCCGCAGGCATCGCAGGGAGCACGCTGCTGTTCCTGCTGCGATCCTTCTTTGCGCCGCCGACCCTTTTTGCCTCTTGATACAGACCGACCACATTTGTTCAGGAACGCGCGGTCTCGCGGTTGGTCGAGACTTGAAAGAGAAACTGGTTCTTTGTGGGCTGAACCACGTGCCCGGAGTGCAAAGTTGTTGATGGTCCATCACTACATCCCGGCTCCCCCTGAAGAATCAAGAGCGGCGACAGCGTCCCATCAACCAACGCTGGTCCATCGCGGCTGCGTCCGGCCACTGCGTCCCTGTCAATGAGAGTGGGAACAGCCGGAGCTGCGCAGCCCGACGCTCGGCCGAGGTCACCTCGGGGCCAACGGCCAATCCGATCCTGGGAGCCCCTTGATTGGGCGAGGGGTTCGTGGAGGAGGGGTTGGTCTCAAGTGAAGCCTTGAGGTGTCCGGTGTCCCCCCAAAGCATTTGATTTACAATAAATCAAGCAGCTACCTAGCATATCCTAGCATATTTATGGTGCTTTTTAGTGGGTACGTAGCTCGCAGAGACTCTGCTGAAATTGCGTCAATGTCAGGTGGTCTTAATATGTTTAGCTAAGTTTGTAAGCGATGTTAAGTGTTTAGATATGTTTAGAGTTTAGAGTCTAGAAGATAAGAAGATCAGTGTTAAGTGTTTAGAGTGCCACCGGATTCTTCCAGGTCGAGAGGTTGGACCATAGGGCAGTACCAGACGGGTTGTATCTGGTGTCTGGTGATTGGATCAAAGCAGGTTTGGAAGAAGAGACTTGGTGTTTGGTGTTTTAAGGAAGGCTCCTATCATCTACTGATTTTCAGCATCCGTGACGAGGCCGGATTCATCTCCATCTCCTTGGCAGCGATCACTTCGTCCCGCCGCCAAAAAAGGGGTCCGGGTTCGGGTTTGTCCTACAGTTGGCTTCCCAAAGTCAGAGCGATGGCCAGTCTATCCCTAAAGTGGATTGAGAGTAGATGGCACAATCCCCAAGGTCAGTGGTGTATATGGACCCCCATCTTACCATCTACTCTGAAATCACTGCAAGTGGATCATTGGATGTTTGGTTTTGATGCGTACTTTCGTTCACTTCAGTCACCTGGTTGAGGCGATGGTGGAAGAGTCATTGAGTCATTGGAGTTTTGTTTGGTCAATGGAACTCGTACATGTCAGTGGATTCTGCAGTGTTGTCGCCAAAAAGGGTCTAACTATTTCGGGGTCTAATACGGTCTGATGACATGTGGAGGCTGCGATCAGGTACGTTTGGGTCTCCCAGCGTCTCAAGTGGTGTTCCATGTGGTCGATGGGGGTGGCTGTACCACTCCAGGACTGTATCACTGCGGTCACTGCGGTCTGTTCCTTCATTGACCACTCGAGGCCTGTTCCGCTGACGTTGCTTGCACATGACTTGTGCAGCGTCATTGCCAACTGGGACATCGTCAGGACAGCTTTGGCGAAGCTAACTCATTTGCTTGGAGCTCCAACAGTTTTCTCATGTTTTCTCCTTTGATCAAGGTCCTCAGCAGCCCAAGGTCATCGGTGAACGAAAGACTCTAGCATGGCATGGCCGGCATGACTGTCTAAAATTCACCAAGATGGGTGAAACGGAAATCAATCATGGACACTTCTATCCAACGTGTCCATGAGACGTCTTCGTGGCATGGCACCTTGCAAGTGTGAAGTACGTGTGCAGGCTCTCCTGGCGTGTGGCGAACGTGCTTGTTCACTTCCATTGTTGAAGGATGGTACTTTCCCCACCCATTCAGTGCGCAACCTTTAATATTGTTGTTCACGAAACATCATCACTAAACAAAAGTTTGGACCTTGATTTCCCAGGAAAACGGCTCGTGAGGTTTCAGACAGAGCCCTCCCTGTGACGCGGCGACTCACTCAGGAGACTTCGAAGAGCAGCGGGGCACAAGGTGGTCCGGGCTGTGGAGGGTCATGGATGAGGGGCGGGGGTCATACACGGATGGTATAACGTTCACTCAGAGATCTCAGAGTGACATGACTCAGAAGCATTGTTGAATGATGTTGAATGAGCGCATCTCATGCAGGGCATCATCTCCAAAGTTGGCCGGCATGACGGTGGATTGTGTGGCAATGGTGGCGCTCAATGGCGTTCGGCAGTGGAAGACCATAAGCTTTGTGGGTTAGGTTGTTTGATGTTGTTTGGACATATGAGCTTTTGCCAGAACTAAGCGTGCTGCTCCCGCACTGGTTTATCAGCCCAAATTAAGTTCATTGACCAATCTGGGCATGCGAATCTATACGCACCGGCTGGAAAAACTTGTTTTTGCGCGTTGTTTGGGCCAAACCTGCCAGGCAGTGGGTTCGATACTGGATCGTTTGCCATCCCTGGGGGCTCCTCGTTCCAAAGGCTCACCGAGCACCGCGGAACGGGACGGGACGGCGGTCATTGACATCGTTCGTCGACCGAGCGAGAGACGCATCCGATGGCTGCCCTGTAGAGAGACTCATCCATTTGATTTGAGATGGTTTAAACAAAGGGCCAAGAGCCTGGCGAGGGGTACCGGGTATCGTATAATTTGCATCTAACATGCGACAGAAGCATCTTGACGGCTAAGTGGCTGCAGTGGCTAAGTGAGTTGCAGATCTGTCCTAGTGGAAGTCTCCGGAAACAAAATTGGAGCCCGGAAAATAGCATTAGGGGACGGGTATGTGACAAGTTGACTGATCTTCAATGGGTCCAAGATGTCAAAACAAATCCTGAAAAAGGTTTTTGATGGTCTTTGATGGTCCTGAGGAGAGGCGTGGTCGATCGTCGCCCTCCATCAGTCGAGACATCGAAGAAAAGACGTCGCCAGGATCCCGTGCCAAGAAAGACGGCGACTCGGGGAGACGCAACACACGCAGTGACTCTGGTCGAGGGGACAAGATGCAGGCGATGCTGGAGCGAGCTGATGGTGGCTTGAAGATCATGTTCTGCTCAAGAAATGCTGTTCCTTTTCATTGAGGAATTACACTATGCACCAGAAGTATCCAGAAGTTTTTCAGTTGGAGTTGTTTCTTGGAACAGCAACAAATGGTGATTCTGGGCCCCGTTCTACCATTGTTCGGATTTGGGGAATGATGGGGCCCAGGGAGTGCAGGAACTGGTTGTCGAACTTTGGTCACTCCGGTGACCAGGGAACTGGAGCTTTACCCCTTTCTTTTTTCGGAGTGTTATGCAATGTCCAAGCGAGAATCCAAGCATCAGACTTCCTGCTCAGATGGTCCTATGACAAGAGGATTGCTTTGAGCTTGTCAAGACTTGTCATATGATGTGTGACTCTTGGGCAATGTAGTTTCGACATGTTTCGGTGTCATGATGTATTGGAAAAGACCCCTTTGTTCAGTACTGATTGCCATTTTTCTTGACAATGGAAGATGTCATTGCAAGTTCAATGGTAAATTGGCATGTCAAATGAATGTTAGTTCTCGATAGGCCAAAGATGAGAAAGGCACTATTGTGCCCTCTTGCTTCGTATGTCTTGACAAGCCCTCCAGGCGCGAATGGCTTGTGGCTGTGTGTTTGTAATGAGAGGAGCAAGGATGCTACTAGGGCTCCTGGCCATACTACTAGGAGCAAGGACGTTACTAGGGGCTCCTGGCATCGCTACTAGGAACAAGAAGCTGCTAGGGACTCCTGGCCATATTCTTCTTTCTGGTGTTGTATGATTCTGAGAGGAGCTTGGAACCCCTCGCAAGGATGTGTCTCAAACTCAATCTAGCCCTCCGGCATTCACAGGTGTCAGTTTCTTTGGCATCAGTGTTATTTTGGATGTCATACACCCAATGTTGCATGGGTCTTTCATTTCCTCAGCGGCCACAAGTCGAACCTTTCCCTGCGATGCAAGGACAAACATTTGTATGCCGCCTTTCTTAATCGATGAGGGTTTTCATCCTTGATCATCCCTTGTTTTGTCCGCACCCACTGAGGGAGGAATAATCCTATGGAATAATCCTATGGTACCCACGACGTCCTCAGGGATCAAACCTCCAGAGGATTCCATTGGTGAAGACGAGGAAATCATAGGAAATCTGTGTTGTCCTGGATTTGATTGAGCTGGCGTGCAGATCTTGAGCGCCAAGATGTGACTTTCCTGGGTAATATGCACTTGTATGCAACTTGAATCGATCAAAGTCGAGGACCTCCAACCCAGGCGTGGCCTTGACAGACTGGAGATGATGTTCATAGGAAAGGACCAGTGAAAGGATCCTATTTGGTCTCGCAAAACGGTCAAACAGAGTCAAGACAATCTGTCAAGATCCAGCGTTAATACAGTGGTTTCAGAGTAGATGGCACAACCCCCTACATGTCCTTTAGATGGGGGTCCATATAAACCACCTCTTGGGGTCTGTGCCATCTACTCTCAATCCACTTTAATAGAAAGAATTGTGACAGGACGTGCGGGGGTTTGAAGTTGGACTCCCGAACAGATACATCCTAGAGCCCTGTGGCCATCGAGTGGTTTGCGGAGATTGTGCAGCGCAGCACTCAGCAGGGTTTGATCAATTGATCAACTGCAGTGGGAGAAGCTAACTTGTAAAACACAAGCTGGCATGCATGCAAGCTAGTTGATTTATGCTCAATGCTCCACGATCGTGGGGGCAGTCTTAGGCACCCCTTGGAACCGGGGGGTAAACAGGTGAAGCTCTTGGGCGCAGGGCTTCTGCCGGGTGTTGGAAGCGTAGTGACCCCGAAGAGCTTTGCGAGAGCTTTCACCTCCAAGTTCGAACATGCGACCCTCGGTCCGAGCTTTCAGCTTGGGTGCCAAAGGCTTAAAAGACTGACAGTAGGCCCTACAAACTAGCAACAGAACTCTTTGATCATACTGATCACCTCCTTGCACAACTCTTGAGCTAGCAGCAAACGGTCCATGTCTGGCCAGTAGATGAGGAATCCTGAATCCTCGGCCCACATCGAACGTCATATATCGAACATCGTTGGTCCACATGGACGGCCGAGATGCACCCAAAAGGGATCAGTGGATGTCCCTTACTGGTTCCCATTGTGTGGCACTAGTTACTAGTTGTGGCACTGTTTTGGAGACTAACTATCAACAACCAGAAAGGCAAGGGAGGCATACGCGGCTGAGGGAGCTATATTCCACCTATACTACATATGGGCTCTAATGGGCTTCTCCTTCAAGGCTGCGGCTCCCAGAAAAAGAGTTTCATGCGGTGCAACGCTGTACATTCAAACAGCAACTCCCTTTAACTTTGGAATTATCGCCCTTGATTCTTGGGACAGCTCATCAGTCACTTAAGTGGATTGCTGGAGAAGCAACAGCATTTCCCGTAGATTGATGGGATTGAAACGAGTCAAGACCACGCCGCCATCCTTGGACGATTCTCCCGGCATTTCTACTCCCAGCAGAACAACACCCCCCTACTGTACCTATCTAAGGCCGCAGTTTGTTCTTCGCCAACTATTGGGAGAGACACATGTGTTGCCGTGAAACACATCGACAGGTGCAGCTGGTGGATGCTGCCACGCGAAGCCGCACGGAGGATGGCCGACCGCGATGGCGGCTGGTTGGACCGATTCGGGAAGAGACATGGGAGGCACATGAATGCACGGAGGCTTGCTGGTGTTCAACGAGCAACATGGACCGGACCACCTACTGTACATCATACATCATGCTAATCCATATATTTTGTTTGTGGGATTGGTCATGTCATTTCCGACTGGACTTCACTCATCAGTCTTCGCCCTGACTCATGTCCTTTCTTTGTTTGGCAATCGAAAGGAGGGTGTCAGGCCCAGCTGGCGCATGTGTACACATGCTTGCCAGCAAGACTCCCACGGACATTAGAAATAGTAAATCTTTGGCAGACACCAATAGATTGCAAAAGGATGCTTGAACACGGTTCCATACTGTTCCCTTCTTTGTTTTGGATCCCATTTTGCCAAATAAAACAAACCTCCAGAGTGGGTTGGCATTGTGTCTCTACCAAGTGAGGATGCTATATTAGTTTGGGGGAGTGTGGATTGGCCTGCAAAAGTAGGACGTATCCACTGTATCCACTGCCATTTGTATGCGGAACACCTGTGCAGAGAACAACTGTTGTGTAAAAAACAGCTTGGGATAGATACACTGGGGGAGGGACCTGGGACTCAGGAAGGATAAGGAAAGGCGAAAGTAACAGATGACTCCTGCTTTGACGCCTCTACTCTCTTTTGGTCGCTCAACCGTGTGGACGATCCGGGATCGTCCTCCGTCATCACGCCTGTCAAAAACTTTGCACCGCAGGGGACTGAACGAGGAGATCGAGGTGGTGGGAATTGTCCTTCCTGTCACTTGGTTTGGTTTTCGGGAGGATTGATGTGTGTGCGCTTTCGTTTGGTCCATGCAGAAGTGGAGGGAGAGCAAAGTAACCGATCGATTTGCAAAGCGTGCACAAGCCATGCAACCTTATTGTGGCATTGCTTTTGAGGTGGGCTGGCAATCAATCGTGCCATGAGAATCTTCATTTGAATGTGGAAATGCAAAAATATATTTATAAACATGTTATTTATACTAATTGAATTTATGAATTTAAATATACTTAAATTACATTAATTATATTATATCTATAATATTATCCGCGATAAATAATTTATATATATATATCATTATTGTTTTTCTTATAAAATGTAAATTCTAAGATATATTTTATAAATATGAGGAGTTGTATTATTTTATTTGTTCAAGGATAATTATATAAGATTTGGAATATTGATATATAAAGGTTATGTAATAAATTTTATTAATTTGGATATTGAATGATAATAATAAAGGGTAGGTAAATTTTATAATTTTGTAAAATAGTAATTTATTTGTCGAATTATCGGAGGATGATTTGATTTTATATTTTTAAAATATTGATTATATTTGTGTAATTTGAATTGGAATTATATTTTTTTGATTTGTTGTTTTTTATTGATTAGGATATTTATGGGTAAGGATCTTTAAAAATCTAAAATAAAGATAGGATATAGAGGAATTGGATTAATTGCACCACCGACCGTAGACCCAAATAGTTTGGGTCTTTCGAAATCGGAATATTTTCTAATTAAAATTTTCGACGTCCATAGTAGTGGAGAATTGGGAGATAAATCTAGATATAGGAAAATAAATATGAAGAATTAGGCGGACACAGTAATGCAGAAGTGGGAAGAAAAGGAAATAAAATGAAAGGAAGCCGGGAAATAAAACAATCGGGAACCCGACCGCAAGCACCTCGCTTGGGAGACAAATAAAAAGAATTGGGAGACAAATGAAAAGAAGTGGGAACCAAATGAAAGGAAATGGGAGACAAACCACCCGGGGAAAATGAAGGGAGACAAATGAAGGGAAGTTAGAGACAAGCTGGCCGGGAACCCGACCAGACCATCCATCAAGGCGACCATTCTATAAAGCATTGAGAACCCCTAACAGCAAGTGCAAATTTGGAAAATAAAAATATTTAACAATATTTATGAATTTTTTAGATATATTTCTATATTATTTAGATAATTAATTTTGAACAAGAAAATAGAATTAATAACAAGGAAGGAAATAGAATAAGAAAATAATTAATAATTAGAATTAATTAATTATGTTTTATATTTTCTTTTTGTCCTGTTTCTGGGTCTATTTTTTTTTATGCGGGAGATAATGAGCGACAGGGCCCGGGTCTCGGATCGATTTTCGCTCGTTCGCCTCTTCGTGACGAAAGGTCGGTCCGAAACGAAGGGACGAAATGGATATTTCGTTGTTGAGAGATTTTCGAGGCGTATTCTCTGTTGATTCTTCACCGGTAAAGGGAATATATACAGAGATAGGGGGAGAGAAAAAATATAAAGTAGCTAATTAATATCTAATTCTTAATTATTTGGTATCTTGAGATCTTGACATATAATATTCATTTTATGAAGGCTAGGGATTTGGCATCTTACGGATATTTCCGATTCGCTATTCGCATCTTCTAAATTGTCTTTTCCTGAAAATCGATTTCTATTTTAACCTATCATAGCCTGGATTGGTCATTTTATAAATTAGTTGATTTTTCATTTTATAAACCAAAAACCTATCCCACATATTTTATAAGTCCCCAGAGCTTAAAAGATGCAAAATCAATGCGCCTATGATCAATCACAGAGGATTTTGTAATGTTATTGTTCATTAAATTGAATAGATATTAAATTATTATTTGATAGTTATGAAAAGTAACTAATTTAATTTTTGGTTATTTTCGTCACGTATTGGTTGGGGAATGGAATGATTTATTGAATGAATAATCTATCATATTTAATACTTGAAATATCGTTAAATATAAAATATTATTTCTGTTTATTGATTATATAGTCTTGTTTTAAAAATATATAAATATAAAATATATCATTTCGATATCATTTAATTATGTATATATTTAATATATATAAATGTTTTTAATATATTTTTGATCTTAAATATTAATGTAGAGGAGGATTGGATGATGAAATGATATAATAATCGTGAATAATATTGAAAACATGATTATTAGAAAAATTATGATATTTTTAGAAAATTTAGCAATATGTTGGAATAAATATATTTTTAATGATATTAGAATTTTGGATGCATGAATGATTATGATATTTGATTGAGATAGATATTTTGATAGGATGATACTAAATTTGGAATTAAATAGGAAATTTGATTTATTACATATTTAAAAATATCTAAATATTGATTATTATATTGATCGAAGATTTTGATGTCTGGATAGGATTTGATTGATTTTTTTGGGGATATTAGATTTTCTATCATTATAGAGTATAGTCATTGTTTTTCGTGAATTTCTTGAGATTGATTTGATGTTCTAGTAGGCATTTAGGTTGTGGCACCGTCCAGAGCTTTTTGTTAATGCATTTCGTGGCCAGAATCATTTTATATATATATATATAATTTGAATGATATCCAACCTTGCATATTCGTTAGGATTATGCAATGAAATGGAATCGTAACCAGATTTCGATGCCGATCCTTAATGGATTGAATTATTGTTCCGTAATTTGGTATGATTTCTGGATTATTGCAGGTATGTTGATATAAAGGCTCCATTCCCACAGAAGGGCACTACCAAGGTGTGCTCTTTAACACCGGGTGTGGCCTGCTGTGCAATAACAATCGATCTCTAAATCGTTTGATTCGCGATGCGCAATTCTATCGAATCATTCGTATGTTGTGGCTTACGCCTTGGATTATATCAATCCTGAATTCAGCCGACCTCTCCCGCCGGTGATATATGAACATTGCCCATCCGCTCTTGCTACCTTGATCTCCGAGCACCTCACATGGTTCTGCATCTTGATAGCCTTAGACGTTCTTGCGAAGCGGCCGCGTTCTTCGCGCGGCCCAACACGGGCGAACAGCACTCGTTCGCCGGCAGCTGAATGAATGAAATCCGCCCGCACCGAAGGTGCCGAGGCGTTTTTATAGGGCACGCATTATACCGCAAGTACCGCAAGTACTAATAGCTTTAGCTAGGGGGGGGGGCATTTTCGCTCTAGAATCCTGTGTTTTTTTCACGTTTTTGGAACCGGCTTAAAGTGCTGGAAGATAAATGCGTCCTAATGTTTGCTATCTTGAAGCCTTTAGTGATGCAAGAAATGCAATTTTCTGTTTTGCATCATCTGAATCATCTGAGTGGTACAGTGTAATTGGATTGGGACCGGACATTTGGCTGAACAGGTTCCCCCCACGGGGCTCAACATAGCTTCCATATTGCATAACATAGCCCTAGAAGTCATTATCTAACGGACGTGTCTGCGAGATAGGGACTTGAGCGTCCGGGTACGTGGCTGGTCAGGAGCAGAGGTAAGCAGATCAGGTCCAGGAACGGTAACATTATCTCACGAGCACAACTCCCATAAGATCGAACATAACCCCAGAAGTCACTATCTCAAGTATGCTGCCCCGAGATAGGTATTTAAATGTCGTAAATATGGCCCAACGAAGGCTCAAAAGGGACTGGAATAGAGTGAAGATATTGCCTAACATAGCCTTAGAAGTCACTATCTAAAGGACGCGTCTGCGAGATAGGGATTTGAACGTCGTAAATTGGAATAAAACCCCCCCTAACGTGGCCAAACATAGCTTTCATATTGCCTGACATAGCTTTAGAAGTGATATTTGGCTCCACAGGAGCAGAGATAAGCAAAGATCACGTCCAGGAACGGTAACATTTTCGCACGAGCAGAGCGTGCATATGATCGAACATAGCCCCAGAAATCACTATCTCAAGCATGCTTCTTCGAGATAGGGACTTCAACGTCGTAAACATGGCCCAACGAGGGCTCAAAAGGGACTGGAAAAGCCTGCAAAATCACTATCTCAAGCATGTTTCCTCGAGACAGGGACTTGAACGTCCGGGCACGTGGCTGGTCAGGAGCAGAGATAAGGAAAGATCAGGTCCAGGAATGGTGGTCAGGAGCAGAGATAAGGAAAGATAAGATCTAGGAATGGTAACATTTTCTCACGAGCATAGCTTCCATATGATCGAACATAGCCCCCGAAGGCACTATCTCAAGTATGTTTTCTCGAGATAGGGCCCCGAACGTCGCAAACACCCTCTCGACTTCCATATTGCCTAACATCTATTTGGCTCCACAGGAGCAGAGATAAGCAGATCAGGTCCAGGAACGCTAACATTATCTCACGAGCACAGCTCCCATAAGATCGAACATAACCCCAGAAGTCACTATCTCAAGTATGCTTCGCCGAGATAGGTATTTGAATGTCGTAAATATGGCCCAACGAAGGCTCAAAAGGGACTGGAATAGAGTGAAGATATTGCCTAACATAGCCTTAGAAGTCACTATCTAAAGGACGTGTCTGCGAGATAGGGACTTGAACGTCGTAAATTGGGGCTATATTCGGCAATATGGAAGCTATGTCGGGCCACGTTAGGAGAACACGTTACCGTTAATTGACCTTATCTCTGCTTATCTCTGCTCCTGTTGAGCCGAATGTCCGGCCTATCTTGAACGATCTTGAGCTACCTTGAGACAAGATATATCAATTTGCGACGTTCAAGTCCCTATCTTCCTTTCATATTGATTCCCTTGGCTCCAAGAGCACAAGAACCCGTTCCAGATCGTGTTCCTTCCTGAAGCTCTCTCACCGCTTACCCGACCCGCAAAATGGCAGCAATCTCTTAACCCCCCAACTACGATTATTGTACTTGAAAAAGCATTCGTTGGGCCATGTTAAATCCCTATCTCGAAACATGGAACCTATGTTCGGCCACGTTGGGGAGGGGGGGTCACTTCCGGGGCTATGTTCGGTGGAAATATTGGCCCCTTCCATGCGGCGGGGGCGGTTACCGTCGCGAAGCGACGTGAATATTAATATTGAAATTGATGAGAAGCATGCAAGAATTTTTGAACGAATTATGTTTATGTATTCCATGGCGAAATGTCAAAATTGCGATGTATCATGTATTTTCTATTCTTGCTATGAAAATTATGAAAATTGTATTTAGATAATA